ATATCCCTGGCCGAAGAAAGGTTTTTTTTTTAAAGATGAAAAAGATGAGAGAATGTTGGGAATACTGGTAGAAAGCAGAGGACTGACGAAGAAGGAGACGCCACGGGTGCTGTCCTTGAGAGGTGGGGGGAGACGGGGCGCAGAAGACAGACAGAGGGATTCGCCTTTTCTCGAAGTTTGCCCCCTGGCTCAGAGATTTTTTTTCTAGTCTAATTTCTCATCTCCAAGGGGAATAAATAACAACTGCGGACTGTGTCACAACGTTGAGGGAGTTTTCTCCTGTATGGTCGTGTGTGCCAAAAAAAGGTTATTTTGCTGCCTGTTTGTCTATGCAATTGTGTTGCCATTTTAGCACTTGGCTAACTGTTCTGCAGTGGGCTCTGTTTGCTTTTTTTTTTTTGCTTGTTCTGTGGTTTTGACCTTTAAAATAAAAAATAAATAGATATTTGCAGAAGCGGAGGTAAGGAATTCTGAAATTTGAGATACAGCCAAGTATTGGAATATCATGGCCATTCAAAATGTGTGTGTATTCATTTTTGGTGTTTAAAAATATTTGTAGTACAATTATTAATTTTAGTTAAATACTAATTTGAGTAGTATTTATTTACTTATGAGCTATATGTATGTTTATTTGTGTTACTGGGGATTGGTACCCAGGGCCTTCACATTAAGCTATGTTCCCAGACTTCTTTTATTTTTTATTTTGAGGCAGGATCTTGCTAAATTTCCCATCCTGGCCTGGAATTTGCAATCCTCCTGTTGTAGCCTTCTGGGTAGATTGGATTTCAGGGATACAACTCCTGCCTGGCTAGTTTATATTTTTATTTATTTTCTGTCTTTTTGAGACAGGGTTTCATTATGCAGATCAGGCTGGCCTTGAACTTATTTTATAGCCCAGGCTGGCCTCAAACTCTAAGTGATCCTTCTGTATCAGCTTTCTTTCTTTTTTTTTTTCTGGTACCGGGAATTGAACTCATGACCTTGCACTTGCCAGGCAGGCGCTGTGCCGCTGAGCTAAATCCCCAGCCCCCTATATCAGCTTTCTGAGTACTGGGATTACAGGTGTGTGCCATCATGCCTGGCTTGTCTGATTATTTTTAAATATCTTTTAATTGACATGTAAAAATTTCATAAATTTATAGGGTAACACTAATTATTGATTCAAAGTACGTCTAAAAAAATACATCCCTGTGTATTACTAGCCAATTAAAATATGAATATTACCATTACATTTCAAGTTTTTGTACCTGCCTGTCAAGTGCAAGGTCCTAAGTTCAATTCCTTATACAAAAAAAAACAAAAAAAAAAAAAAAAAAAATCAAGTTTTTATATTTAAAAAATTGTTTCCTATTTAATACATCTGAAGCTTTTATTATTAGGTAAAAGTTTATTTTCAGATACTTTTGAAGGTTAAAAACAATAGTCACTAATATAAAGAGCTATTTATCTGTTCTTAAAGCAGCCAGTAGAACCCTAAACACATTCTTACTCATCAGCAACTTTAAAAACATTACTTGCTTAACACACTGTCTAGCTTCACTTCATTTCAGACAAAATCTGGCTCAGTGTGATGGTACATGCCTGCTAGCCACGCTTCTCGGTAGGCTGAGGCAGGAGGATCCCAAGGTTAAGGCCATCCAGGACAATTTAGTAAGACTGTGTCTCAGAATAAAATTTAAAGGTTGGGGTGTAGCTAAGCAGCAAACCAAAGCAAACTCTGGTATTTCTCTTCCTGCCATGTTCTTTTGTTATATGTGACATTTCCTTGGTCATCAGCAGAACAAGACATGTCTTCTGGTCCTTGAGAAATGTATGTTCACTGGCTCTAACTTCTTGGGTTTGAACTTTTTCTTTGTGCTTGATTATTATATTCTTCTAAGAAGGAAGTCATTCCTTCTGTCTCTTCCAAAATGCATAACCTTTTGCTAGGTGTGGTGGTGCATGCCTGTAATCCCAGGACTCAGGAGGCTGAGGCAGGAGGAGGATCTGCATGAGTTCAAGACCAGCCTGGGCTGCATAGTGAGTTCAGGGCCAGCCTGAACAACAAAGTGAGACCCTGTCTCAAAAAAACCATTTTTTTTCTTTCTGGTCTCTTCTCACATATTTAATATTTTACATGAGTTTTTTTTAATCTCCTCTACTGTGGATCGAACCCAGGTCATTTGCACTGAACTACCTCCCCAGGCCTTTATTTATTTATTTTTATTTTGAGCCATGTTCTTGCTAAGTTGCTGAGTTCTCTGGGTTCAGCTCAAACTTGTGATCTTCCTGCTTCAGCCTCCAAGAGTGCTGAAATTACAGGTATGTGCCACCATGGCTCTTTTATAAGAATTTTGCCAGGTTCTATAAAAGAAAATTATGTTAGTTTTTTGATCAGAGTTATGTTAAGTTTATAGATTAATTTGGAGGGGAATTACACCTTTGCACAGTTGTCTTCTAGATTATGAAATAATTTGTAATTTTTAATTACTAAAATGTAAGCTTCATGAATGCTGATTTCTGTCTGTCATTTTGTTCACTATTGTAATTCTAGAATCTAGAATGTGACTTGATAACATAGTAGGCACTTAAATATTTGTTGATTTGTGAATTTCTTTCTTCCATTTTTTTTGTCTCTTTGAGACAGGGTCTCGCTATGCAGTTCAGGCTGGTCTTGAGCTTACTTTGTAGCCCAGGCTCGCCTCGAACTCATGAAGATCCTCCTGCCTCAGTCTCCTGAGTGGTGGGATTACAGGCACGTGCGGCCACACGTGACTGAATTTATTTCAGTGATTTTTTACATCTCTCAATAAAATGTTATATAGGTTCTGTATAATCTGAGAAGTTATTATTTGTAGAAAAGGTACTCACATTTAGTTTGAATTATTCAGCTTTGAATTTGTTTTATTCTGAGAGTATCACTTAATATATCAAGTAAATACATGTTTGTCAGTTAGAATAATTTTGCTTCTTGATTTATAACATCATTTTATAATTAATACTATAACATTCTTAAAATGGACCTTTCTTTGATATCAGATTTATACTAATTTGATAAGTTAATTAGGAAGTTTAGGATTTTTTAAAAGTAAAAGGTCCCATAAAAAGCAGTAAGGGACAATATAAATTGCATTTAAAATATATATAAAGTTTTGCTGAGCGCGATGTTAAAATGTTATGTTTGAACCATTGAAAGCTTCAACTTGGGAGGGATTTATAATGTGAGTGGTCATGTCATATATGACCAGTGTTCTTACAGGCATTTCATAATTATAGTTTAGTTTTTTACTAAAGGGTTAAGAATAACCTTGATAGTGTATTTTACAGAGATCACAAAGAGAAATCATTATTGCTTTGGGTTGGGCTTCATGGGCTGCTGGTTTTTTGATGGAATCATTAAATAATTGTTTTAAGATTATAGTCTTCAGAAAAAAAAGAGATTTTAGTCTTTAGTTTCATAAGCTCAGTTATTTGTAGTTTATCCTTAACTGCTCCTGGGGACTCCAAATCTCACTCTGTTCTCCTCTGCCTTCTTCACCTCCCGCTTCCGTTCTTGTTTCCTTCTTTCCTTTCTTCCTTCTTTCCTCCCTTCCTCTACCGTCTTTATCTCCCTCCTTTCTTCCTCCCTCCCTCCCTCCTTCTCTTTTCTTTTTTTCTTGCTTGTTTTTTTTGAGTGGGGTGGCTAGGGATGAAACTCAGCGCATGCTGAGCAGCGGGGAGCTACTCCTCCATCCTTGACTTGAAATCTTATTTTTACTACTCAACCTTTAAGTCCATACTATGTGTCAAATAGTGCTAAACCACTGCACAGGTGTTACTCACGTAAAGCCTCACAACACTTCTGCTAGAAAGGAGATCTTTATAGGGCAGATCACTGAGGCACAGAGCAATTAAGAAACTTCTCTGTGTAGTAGGTATTGGAGCTGGGATTTCACTCATTGGAACCTGTAATTATTGCTTTGACTGCCTTCTGCACATTGTTTGTAAAATATTTCTGGAAAATTAGGATGCTCATTGATTTACAGAGGAGTATATTTGATCAAGAAGTATGTGGAGGGCTGGGGATGTGGCTCAGTGGTAGAGCCCTTGCCTAGCAGGTGTAAGGCCCTGGGTTGCTTTGTCCAGGTGATGATCTTGACTTTTATTGTAGTACTTATATTTGTCTTATCCTCAAGAAAAAAAAATGGTTGGCCTTCACTTTCATTGGTATGAAAAATGTTGAGCTTTATAATTAACATTTCATGGTTTGAAAAAGAAGATCATAAAGAATAAAACCTGTGGATATGCTTGAGAGTCTCATATGGTCATGTGGTGTAGAGCAAGGTTTTGTGGAAAGAGAGGGGGTGCTAGGCACATAAAATGTGATAAAAATGAGACAGAAGGATTAGAGAGCTGGTCACCAGTGCTGTGGATACTACGGTTCAATGAAGGATTTTTAAAATGTTCCTTTTGAATCACAAGACTTCTAAGCCTTGTGTTCCCGACTGCATTTGATCTCGGTAGACTCGGGAGCTCTTAGTTCACCAGTTCTTTTAGTGGAGTGAACTTCTGTGCATAACTTCTCTCGTAATGATTCCCCCCCCCGCCGTAGGTTTCAATGTGAGGGCATTTTCTAGATCTTTCCTTAAGCTATGTTTTGCTTTTTCTGTATATTCATTATTTTGATAGTGATTCTTTTTTTATACATTGTACTCATTGATTAAGTGAATTAAAAGTAATTTGGAGGGGTTAAAAATAATCGAGATGCAATATATATATGTGCCATTTCCCCAAATGAATGTAATTATTATGTATAATAAACATACACTAACAAAATAAAAGTAATTTTTCTTCCCCATTTGGGTTAAGGGTTAAGATTTGTGTTGCTTCTGACAATTTATTTTTATGTTTTTTTCATCTTTGACTGACAGCTGCCATGCAAAGAAAACCCAAATCATATTCTTCTTCTTTAATGGATCAGATTCCTATAAAATTCCTCATTCGACAGGCTCAAGGGCTACAGCAGGAACTGGGAGGTATTTGTTTCATTTGCTTTTAAATGCTACAGATTATTGTTAAGAAGTACTTAGTTTTAAAGTGTATAAAATGTGTAGATGCTCCGTGTAAAAAATGTAAACAATTTAAGAGTGAGATTACTCTTTGTTTCTTTTAATTCATTGTCTCACTCACTGGATGTCACCTCTTCCTATAAAAAACTGTAACTTCTAGTTTAGTGTATATTTTTAGGCATTTTCCTCTATCGGTTGAACCAAATAAAATTGCAGATATTTAAACATGGAGGTATGGAGGTGAAGTGCTTGTCTGACATTTGTGAGATCCTGGGTTCAATCCCTAGACCTGGAAAAAAAAAAGATGCTCAATTACTGATTGTATTCCAAACCATACTCTTCTCTAATGATCAGATTCCTGTCCGGTTCCTTATTTGGCAGGCTCTAGGGCTACAGTGCGAGTTGGGAGGTATTTGCTTACGATGGGTTTATTAGTGATAATAGCCTTATTCTAAGTTGAATGTAAAATTGAGGGCCGGGGATACAGCTCAGTGGCACAGCACCTGCCTGGCAAGCGCAAGGTCCTGAGTGCGATTTTTGGTACCAAAAAAAAAGGAAAGAAAGTAAAGTTGAGAATGCTTTTCTATATCTAAGATTGAATGTTTCAGCTTAGCTGCGCAGTGCAGTGTAGAGTTTTCGTTGCTTACCCTCGTCATTGTGTGGCTGATTTAGTCGCTGTTCCCTGCGGCTGGCTGCTGCCGCCCCGCATCATGAGAGAGTATTTTCCCACAATATTGCTGGTGCTGGAAAAGATAACATTCAAAGCACAGTTTCTAGTGAATGTGTCTTACACTCACATCGCTGGAGAGTTGAAAAAATTAAGTTAAACCATCATAAGTTGGGGGGCTACATTTTTTTTTTTTGAGACAGGGCCTCGCTATATAGTTGAAGCTGTCTTTGCACTCTCTATGTAGCCCAGGCTGGCCTCAAACTCATGGCAGTCCTGTTGCCTCTACCTCCTGGGTGCTGGGACTACAGGTGTGCGCTACCACACTTGGCTAAGGAGGCCATCCGTTTTGACCTACAGAAACAGCAGTTTCACGTGGTTGTACCTGATAGTTACACAAATAAATTTTTTTTTAGCTGGGCATTGGTGGTGCACATCTGCAGTCCCGGCTACCTGGGAGGCTGAGGCAGGAGAATAGCAAGTTTTAGGCCTGCCTGGGCAAATCAGCGAGAGACTGTCTCAAAATTTAAAAGTAAATAAATAAAAAAAGCTAGAGATGTAGCTTAGTGGTAGAGTGAAAGAAAAGGACTGGGAAGGGAGCTTGGTAGGGAGCTTGCCTAGCATGATTTGGGCCCTCAGTTCAATCCCCAGTATTAGGGGTTAAAAATAAGTTTCAACTATGAATGAAACCATTGCCTCAGGCTTGGACATCTTTCTGAATCATTACATGGAGACATATCTTGTTGTTTGTCATTGTTCCATAGTCTACAGTATATTAGTATGGGCAAATGTACTAGTTTGTAAATACTATCTAATAGAAGTATAGTAGTATTTTTAGAAATTAGATTTTATTCTTTTTTTTTTTTGCATAGTTTCCCAAGACATGACACTGCATTTAGCAGCATTTGATAATTAACCTGTTTTCCTGAAGAGAACATAAAACATAGATTAGTTTGCACTATTATAAGCAGTCTTTTTGTAACTGCTGGTGTAATTTTGATTGTATATATATTCCTGTGTATATTTCAAGATTTAAACTTTTTCTGGTGGGAGGAACTGGAGATTGAACCCAGGGCCTCACACTGAGCTGCATTCCCAGCCCATGTTTTATTTTGAGGCAGGGTCCCACTCAGTCACTATAGTGTTTAGGCTGGGCTTGAATTTGCAGTTTCCCTACCTCAGCCTCTTAGAGTGCTAGGATTACAGGTATGTGTCACCATGCCTTGTTTACAAGGGTACTACTTTTGATTCTTATAATGTCTTGTCAAACATAGAAACATCAATTTTACACAGCTCTTATGAGAAAAGAAGCTGGTATTATCTCTGCTGGTATTAAACAATGGTGTGATTTTCTTTAGCTTGCATGAGGGAATGGTTGGATCTTAAGTACTCTGATTTAACTACTGTTGGTCCTATACTCTTACTAATGATGATGATAATAGTGGAGTGGTGGTGGTGGTAGTGGTGGTGTACTTAGGTGCTAGGCATTTAGCTTGTGCTACTGCATATAACTAAATAATCATTTTTTGGCTGTCTTAGTTTTTTATGTTGTTGTTGCTGAGACAAAATATCCAATGCCCCAAATTAATGATGAAAAGGTTTGTTTAGCTCACAGTTTGTGGAGGTTTTAGTCTGTAATCAGCTGGCTCCAGGGCAGGGTGACATGGCACAGGGGCAGCAGTCTCAGGCAGCAGAAGACAGCAAAAGCAACAAGAGCAAAAAGGGAGGAGCAGCAGTGAGCAAGCCTCTTTCCCTCCCATACATTGTATGCAGGCTGCCCACCCCAGGATGGGTGTAGCACTCACCCCCATAATCCTAGCATTGGATCACAAATCAATAAAAAACTCTAGAAGCCCGCTCCATGACTGCATGAAGCTTTGAGGGGACATCTAACAAACCATAACATTCCACCCTTGGCCTTCCGAAGACTCATGCATATCCCTTAATGCAAAAGGCATTTTAGTCTGTCTCTAAGAGTTGCCAAAGCCTTAACAGTTTTAGCATTGCTGAAAAGTCCAAGTCTCAAGTTTTTTTAGAGATGTAAGGCAAACTCTTCACTTGTAAGCCTCTGTATAAATGAAAAGTTAAATGCTTTTAACATTTAATGGCACACAATAAACATTTTTATTTTAAAAGTTACAAACAGAGGAATATAAAGCAATTTTAAAATCTAGCAGGGCAAACATGAGGTCTTGTATTTTTACGACCAGAATTTGAAGCAATCTGTGGCACATTGTGAGCTTCAAAGGGCTTGTGTGACTTTACCTCTATGGCACTTTTGATGGTTATAGCTCTCATGGCTTTTTTTAGGCCCACTTTGCTCTCTCCTTGCAGCTTTTTTTAGATGATCTATGTCTTTGGCTTTTTTAAACTGTTGGGGTTTTTGCTGCACTTCAGGCTTTTTACTCATAGCTTTACACACTGCCCTCTTAGGAGTATTGGCCCCCCAGGCCTTTTTTTGATATGTGGTGGAAGCCTTTTAGCCGCAGAACTCTTGCATTTTGCATGTACCTAAAACTAGGACCGCATGGATGATGCCAAGGTCTTCTGCTAGCTGGAGTAGTAGCCAAGGTTTTTCTTTTCTTTTCTCTCTTTTTATGTTCTAAGTTCCTCTTCATAGACTCGGTCCAAAAGGTAATAACTTGCTTCATTTAACTCTTCTTTTTTTTTTTTTTTTTTTTTTTGGGTATAGGGGTCAAGTGCCTGGATAGCTGAGCACTCTGAACCTGATTTTGAGGAAGCAAGTTTTTAGGCCACTGTCGTTTTGGCACATGGCTGCAGCCGTTCTGGGACATGGTGCTCTGTGGTTTTTGTTTTTTTTTTTTTTAAAGTAAAGTCTTTTACTTTTGCAGCTTTTTTTTTTTTTTTTTTTTTTAAATTTTTGTAGTTTTGAGGCTGCAAAGGGTAGAGACATGCTGCTTTTTTGTGATACCCTCAGGTTATTTTTTATAAATTTTTTTGGTCTCTTTTTAGCAGCAAGATCTCTTTAGCTCTATCTTTGTAGTCTGTAGCTTTATTGGAGCTTTTTTTTTTTTTTTTTCTTGGCCAAACTCACAACGTTTTAAATCATCTTGTTGGGCTCTTTGCTCTGATTTTTAACATAAATCTGGCTAAAAGCCCCCAAGAGTAAGCCAAGCCACCGCCTCAACGTTTGACTGCCTTAAATTTTTTTTTTGCCAGATGAATTAGTCCACTGCCTTTAGTCTCAGTCTCAGGCAAAGTGTTTGGACATGAGCAAAATGAAGACGATCTTTTTGCCAAGCTGTAACACACATTTCTCTGGAGCCCAACAACCAATGCAGTTGCTTTTGTTTTTGTTTTTTTTTAGCAGAGACCTCTGGAGCCTGGTCTTTACTAGCAGGATTTTTATCAGCCTTTTGGTCTTTTGAACTCTGATCAGAATCTCTCATACAGAACAGCCTAAGGTGTTTTAGCTCTGTTTGTTTAGGCCACATCTCTGAACCTTTTGAAACTCTTTTTACAAGCCATTTTTAAAGGCTGTTGAACCGCATGTTTAGGTATAGTCACAGCAATGACCCCACTTTTTTTTTTTTTGGTACTGGGAATCGAACTCAGGACCTTACGCTTGCCAGGCAGGCGCTTGTGCCGCTGAGCTATATACCCGGCCGACCCCACTTTTTGGTACCAAATTCTGTCTTAGTTATTTTTGTTGTTGTTGTTGCTGAGACAAAATACCCAATGCCCAAAATTAAGGAGCGAAAGGTTTATTTAGCTCACAGGTAGTGGAGGTTTCAGTCCATAATCAGCTGGCCCCAAGGCACAGTGGCGTGACACAGGGGCAGCAGCCCAAGATAGCCAAGGTGGCAGAAGACAGCAAGAGCAACAGGACCAAAAAGGGAGGAGCAGCAGTGAGCAAGCCTCTTTCCCACCCTGATACTATATACAAGCTGCCCGCCCCAGGGCCGGTATGTGTAGCACTCATACCCATAATCCCAGCATTAGACCATAAATCAATCAAAAATTCTAAAAGCCTGCCCCCTGACTGCATGAGTCTTTGGGGGGACATCTAGACACAAACCATAACAATGGCATTATTCATTTTACTGTTACTACATAATAGCATAAATATGTAAACTCTTCCATAAGCAAAATGTGAGAAACAAAGCTTTGATTTAGGAAAAGGCAGGTTTTACTGAAAGGTGCTCTTTTAAACATTTTTAATATTTTTCTGTCTCTTTGAGACAGGGTTCACTATGTAGTTCAGCTGTCCTTGAACTCACTTTGTAGCCCAAGCTGACCTTGAGCTCATAGCAATCTTCCTGCCTCAGCCTCCCAAGTGCTGGGGTTACAGGCATGCACCACCACATGCAGCCTAAGGTGCCACTTTTAGACGCTCAAGGTGGGAAACTTTAATTTTACTCATCTCAGTGATTCTCAGCTGGCTCTAAGACAGCGTGGAGTGGCACAGGGGCGACAGTCTAAGACAGGCAAGGTGGCACAGCAAAAGCAACAAGAGCAAACAGGGAGGAACAGCAGCGAGCAAGCCTCTTTCCCTGCCGTGTATTGTGTGCGATCTCCTCGCCCCATGGCAGGTGTAGCACTCATGCCAGTAATCCCAGCATTAGTCCACAGATCAATCAAAAACTCTAAAAGCCTGCCCTGTTCTTCTCGGCAGGGCTGGCGGAGGAAAAAGTGTGCACTCCACGGAACCCTATTAGAGTTTCTGCATCGGCCTTTTTCAAATCATACCCGATTTTGCTTTGGTGGAGAGTGCCCCCCACTTTTTTCCTCTCTACTCCTCTTAACACATCGTTATGTCTGCTTTTCCTAAGCATGGATGAGGCTCTGGGTTTCATCCCTAACGCTGCAGAAAGCAAAAACAATTACTGATGGTCTTCCATTTATATGATGGCTTTACTGGGGAGACTTATCTTGGCATGAGGAGGAGAAAGCTTGAGAACTTCGAGTCACTGTGTACCTGCTTTGGGGTTTTTCTTTAAGCAGATGCTCTGGCTTGAACTACTGTACGGGAGTTTTTGAACTGTGCTATGTGTGCACCAAGGCACCAATTTCTAGGGCTCTATTCTTGAGTTTCTGCGGTGGTCATCTATGTGG